TGGGGCCTCCTGAAGCCTCCTGGGGCCTCAGAACTACATGCACACACAGAGACACAAATCACACCCAACACATCACACGCTAGACAAACATAACACACACAACCCCTACACGCACAACACAGAGCACACATCACACACACACACAACACTCACAATCCCGGGGCCTCCTGGAGTCTCTTCCGGTATCCAAATCGGGCCTCCTGAGGTTTTCTGGGGGGCCGTGGTACACACATCGCAAGGTGTGGCAACCCCACTTGCGCTCGAGTGCGACCTCGATCTTAGATTCTTTTGCGTTCACCTCCTGCCTCTTCCCCTTCTCTTAGGCACGCCCTGGCGGCGCCGCCCCAGCTTCCCTTCTCCATCTCCGATCCTGCAGTCATGGTGTCTTCCTGCTTCAAACGCCCTTTCAGTTGGGCACACACGTGCCACATGTTATTAGTATTGCTGTTATTGTTTTTGATGGTATTATTATCATTATTCACCTTATTAGTTCCCTTATCCTTATGCCTCTTCTTCTTCTTCATCTTCTTCTTCTTCTGATTCTTCTTCGTGGGTAGAGGACCAGAAAAATACATGACTATCAGCGCGGGCCTCAATCAGTGGGTTTTGAAATCTATCATTTTCGTTGTACGTGGCGCAACTCACGAGATGCAACTAGCGTGCCGATAAACTCGAAACTGCGGCATAAAGAAATGCGTCCAACAGGGCAAACACGATATCCCGCAATCATTAGGGCATGACAGGGCATCAACTATATGGCAACGCTCATATATTCCAAGGCCATAGCGACAATTTGCAGCCAGCGCGGCATCATAGGGCGCCAGCCGTTGAGCACCGCCCATAGAGCCCCATGGTAACTCCGATCATTCGCAGCCATTCATGCATCATAGGGCGCCAGCGAGAGTTCGCAACCATTATGGAACACCAGCCAAACATGACCAAACTTAGGGCGCCGAGACAACAATAATCATCCACAGCCTTTAAGGCAAGTTTGGGAGCCAGCCGTAGTGCGCCGCCCATCGATCACCAGGGTAATAACGAGAACTCGCGACCGCTGTTTTCAGCTTCTTCCAAGCCAGATGAACCCCCCCCTTGGCGAAAGCGCCGTTTGGGGAAGACAAGCTCAAACCTCGGGCGTCCGCGTGGCCAGCTTCTCCGCTTGCGCCCGGCCCTCCCCTCCACCCTCCTTGGTGCGCGAAGCGCGCTGGGGGTGGCGCCGACGGCCCTGCCCAAGGCTGTGGATCCGGATTCGGAGTCGCTCTCGCTTCGGTGTTGGTTCGAATGCTACTGGTTCGAGGGCTCCGGAGGCGGCACAACGCGGGCTCACCTCCACCCAGGACCAACCAAGGCCTAGAGGGTCCGAGAAGCTAGATTTTGCATGGGGAGTCGGTCCGTCACCAGCGGAGGAGCCTTCCGCGGACGCCCGACGCTTCTGCTTACAGTACAGTCAGGCAGGGGTCCCGGGGAAAGAGGAGCTTTCCAGGGGTGCTGCTGCAGGCCCGTCCCTCGGCCCCTGCAGAGCCGCCCACGCTCCGATCCGACGTGCTTGGATTCGCAGGCCGGGGCCGCGATGCCGATTCGATTCCGCTTCCGTTCGGCTCGGCTCGACTCACCGGCGTCGGCCAGTGGCCAGCCAGCGCCGAGGCGCGGCGGTCCAATATCTCGATTCGGCTCGACACGATGCGCTGGCGATCGCTGGGGCCTGCCAGCCGAGCACCCCGGCCCTGGGCCGTCGGCCACGCGCCCCGTGCTCTCGGCCTCGGCCTGGGCCCCCGCGCGGCTGGGCACCCTCGCCGCGCAGCCCCGCCCGGGGGTTCGCAGAGGGGGGGATTTCTCCCAAGGTGGGGCTGGGGAGCGGGCCCAGCTGGATGCTCCCGTTTGGCGCGCTCTCTTCTTCCAGGGGCCGTTCGGAGCGATTTTCCTCCCAGCCCCACATGTGCCCCTACCCCACCTTGATTCACCACCCACCAAACCACCCCAACCCAACCCGAAGGCCTCAATTTGCCCTCCATTTCCAGTGGGGGGGGGGTCGGGGAACATTGAAAAAACACATATGGAACCCGTACCCCCCCCCAACCCGAAATTCGAGTCTTCGGGTTGGGTTGGGGTTGTCTGGTAGGTAGCCGTTTATGCTTCCCCGACCCGTGATGCTGCCGCGCTGCACCCGCGGTCTTCCGATCCTCTCGGAGACCACCCCAGGCGCAGGCGCCTTCGAATCTGCCAGGCGCCCAGCACCAGCCACACGCAGAGTGGGGTAGGGGGGAGGGGGGAGGGCTTCTTAGAAGCACCTCTTCTCCTCTGCGCCTTCCAAGAAGCAGCCTCCTTCTAAGAAGCCCTCCCCCCTCCCGCCGCCCCCTTGTGCGCACCGCCAGCAGTAGGCGCGAAGAGGCCCCCTCAGGTGTGCGAGGCTCCGGAGAGGCCGAGCCACGGAGGCGCCCCCAGAGGAGCCCTGCAGATCGGAGGCGACGCTGTAGGGGCGAATAGCGGAGAGGGGCGGGCA